AGAATAGAATAGAATAGAATAGAATAGAATAGAATAGAATAGAATAGAATAGAATAGAATAGAATAGAATAGAATAGAATAGAATAGAAAATCCCTTTATGGTCACACCACAAAGGAAGTGGTCACACAAATATGGACCTTGGAAAAGTGTATAAAAATAACATAATAGTGAAGATAAAAATAAACGAATAAAATACTGTACTGTAAAGTGTTATAACAATATAAAACTGATCACCTGGAGAATGAATAACCAATATAAAGTTAGGGACATTTTTACAGTAATGGATATTTCAGAATAGCAGCAACATCGGAGATGTGCAAAATGACAGCAGTATTATTTATCTAAGACAGAAACTGTGCAAAACTCAGCATGAATGTAACAACTTATAGAGGTTGTTGGCAACAGTGGTGGTTATAAAGCCTTACAGCTGCTGGGAGGAAGGATCTGAGAAGTATAACTTTAAATGTTCTTGATCTACGACCTTATTTCAGGAAATGTTATAAATGCAGATGCCGAATTTTTACCTACAGGCATAAGAGGTAAATACTGTGATTATAACCCAAACGGAATCAACAAGCACTCCTAAATACGATAATGATCTCAAATCGATTAATTATGCTATGGAGTTCGGCGTTGCTAGATATAGTAGCATTTGTGATAGCCGCAGGGGAGTAAAGGCAGAAAGAAAATAATCCGAGTAGCTGAGGGATCATGTGAAGCAAACTGCAGCCAAAACAAGCTCCCATCATGCAGCAGGACTCACTCAAACACCTCCAGGGGGACGTTGATGTCATTAAGCTGCTTTTGGCACTTGTCGATGTCTTGTAGCCCAGATATCATGAAGTTCCTGAAAAATGAGTCAACAGAGCGATTTAATGCACACGGTTCTACCGTGGGGCTGTCAGAGCATGTAGCTAATAAAAGCTAACTCACAGTTTCTGGTTCAGAACCGCCTGGCTACTCGGCTGGAAGTCACTGACGATGATTCCCAGCTGTCGAATGTTCTCGATGAATTTCTCCAGGTGCTCCTCAAGATTATCAAACTTTTCAGCCATTTTAATATTTTTGTTCACCCAAATAATGATTTTATTACAGCAACGTATCGAAAATCCATCCGATAAATGATAGCTATTTACTAGGAGCCGCTTTCACTACAAAAACCCCGGAATACCGTTTCACTTTACGGCCTACAACCAGCCAACGCGCTCCAATAGTTTACTGTGACGTAGCCACGTTACCATGAAAACTAGCAGTAACAGATCATCCTATTGTCGTAAAGTGTCGTGCTGTTTCGGAAAAAGCTGTTCTTGTATAGGTTTCGGAAGGCAATTCAACATAAAAGTAAATAAAAAAGCATTTTTAAGATGTTTTATAAAAGATAAAAATAATATAAAATATTAAATGGTACTAGAGTCTCTGTATTCATATTTATAAAACTATTCTAGCCTACACTCATAAATATTTCACCCAAATTTTAAGATTTTAAGATGAAATTTCCATTTAAAATTTTTTAGATTAAGTTTGCATAAACCTATAAAATAAGCTTATTAGATGCTTATCTATTAGTATAATAAAGCTTATTTAAGTATAGTATTAATAAAGTAGCCTTACTCAAAGTAGAGCGTTTTAATTCTAAATAGTGTTTCATTATTTAAATTGCATAAAAATAGCCTGAATCTTATGCAATAAAAAATTAACTTTATGTATTTAAAATAAATACACTAATTAGTATGAATTTTTAGTAAGTATACTTTATCAATTCTAAATACATTTACCTGACAATTATGTACTTTCAATAAATAAGCTATATTACGCTAATGACTATGCTTCATGTAAGGTTTATTTTATAGGATTAAGTTAAAATGATCTAAAAATAAAATTTAAACTTAAAATTTTGCTGAAATAATTTGTGAGAGTGTAATAACCAGATATCTGTTTTGTAGATGGTTTCTATGCCTTCTGGTTCTTTTCCTAGTTAAATATGACTGTCAAATGTTTACAGGTTAAGTCAGTATAGAAAGTAATAATTTGCCTCTATGTAAATTATTTTATACAAACGAAAGTGAAAACTTGGCAAACACATTTTTAATAAACTAGGACTGACTTAGCTGAAAGCAGCATCAAAATGAAGGCTGTATGAATGTGATGTTAATCAGTTTTGCTTTAGTATTTCCCTTCCTGTCAAATTGGTTTTACAGACACATCCTGATAAAATCCGTTAAACAAGATGTTTTTTTTTTCATTTATCTTATGCAGGCCAGTTAGTTATATGTCAGCTTGTACACCTAAATTCGGCCAATCATATATAAACAGTCATCTGTCAATCACATTTTTTCGGTCATAGCAT